TGTAGTAAAAAGATTCTATTTCCATCTTGGGAGCACCAGCATCTTTACCTATGCTGACCCTAGTCATACGAGATCGTAGGTACATGTGTACCAGACATTAAAGAAGGAATTATCCCAACCTTCAAATTTGCTATGATAATTCTTTCCTATTGGAAAGTGGGTTTTTTTGTTTGTTTTTTTGAGACAGATTTTCTCTGTGGCTTTGGAGGATGTCCTGGAACTAGCTCTTATAGGCTGGGTTGGTCTCGAACTCCAAAAGATCCACCTGCGTCTTTCTCCCGAGTGCTGGGATTAAAGGCATGCGACACCACCACCCGGTCAGAAGAAATCTTGAAGACAAATTATCTACATTCAACAAATTCCTTGTGTTTAAGTCAGCTTGGCAGAGATCCTGGCCATTTCTTTATATATACTGCTTATTCACACTAAGATGGGCACCTAAGAACTTTCAGGGTCTTGTTGACTAGGTAGTGGGAAATCAAGCAGAATTTTACCACTGCCAGTTTCCTATCCACAGATTCTTCTTGTTCTCTGCTAGTTGATTTTCTGAGACATTGATGCTCTTGGAATTGTACCTTCAAGGATCTGTCTCATAGGAGCAGTGAGCTAACACTTAAATCACTGGTACTTTCTCTGGGATGCATTTAGTTTATTCATTCCTAGGTTGTTCACTATCAGAGAATTGTTTGGAAATGTTCTATTCTTGTACATTGACCTCTTCTATTTTTTTCGCTTGGAAGACAATTTTATGTGACAAAATGTTAGATGACTGGCACCTAAAGAGCATTAGTGTAGGGTAACAAGGACTAAATTACTCTCAGCAAAATTTCCACTTGCTTTGCAGCCTGGAATCCCAAAGACTTTGGAAAAACCTGGGAAGCTCTGGATGATAGGAATTAATTGTATTTTCACATTGTTGAACTCATGGTAATATACTGGCATGCTGGGAAACTTCAGAATGATACAGGGAGGCAAGTGTCTTGCTATCTGCAGTTTATATAAAATAGATGTCATGAACTAAGGCTGTGATTAAAAGGAAGGCTTTCAATATCAATAGAAATGCCTGGATACTTGAACACTGTGTGAATTGTGACATGATTTCAAGGCCTTATCGGAAGATGAAAATTTCCGATTATTTGCCTTGAGAATGGGGGAACTGAACAAGATTGAAAGAGGATTTAATAAATCTTCAACCCTATGAGGAACAATAGTACACAGGCTACATTGCTAGGTTGTTCCTTATTTCCAGTGAGATAAAACCCAGAGATTAACATCATGATGATGGAGTTAGATTAACTCTATGGAAAAACAGCTTGATGTCAATGGTGCTGTTTTAGAAAACTCCACCAAGAAAATAAAGAAGATAATTGCAGAAAAAAATTGTCTATTTATGAGTAGTTTATGCAGTTACTTAAATGATTCAACTATTGATATTAGGCAACCAATATCTATCAGGCATTTTAAAAAGGCATCTGGAGTTTGGTAGATTAAAAAAATCATTCCAAAACCCAAGCACAATGCAGGCTTTGGCAATATTATAAGAGGAATGTATGTTGAGAATTCATAAAAAAATCCTTGTGCATTTAAAGTGATCAAGAAAATGCTCATGTTAAACACATCACAAACCACAATTTTAGTGAGTGAAAAATAGTCTGATCTGGTTGTATGTGAATGTTACTTGTGTTTGTATATTCTAGGGAAGGGATGCAAATTTTATTTCAAGGAATAACATGTATAAAAACAGAAGGAATGTAAATAAATGAAAGGAGTTCAATTCACCAAAAAATGAATAGCAAGCTAGTAGATGATATCTCCAAGAGAAAAATAATCCAATGAATAGAGTTAAGAACAGAACTTGAACTCTGATGACACCCTATGGAAGGCCTCACCATCCAGGGGGAGCAGAAAGGATATGTGATAGATAGGGTTTTATTGGGGGACTGGTAGGGGAGGATGGGAGGGAGAAGGGACCTGGGATTGTCATGTAAAACAATCCTGTTTCTAATTCAAATAAAAAAGTCAAAAAAGAAGAGAACTTGAAATAAAAAGACAAAAATGAGACTCAAATACCATTTCATTTGTGCTTCTCCCCCTTTTCATCCTTCCCATGGTTTCATCTGGTTTGAAAACTGCAACCCTCTTGCTTCAGCCTAATGAGTACTAGGGTTATGGAAACATGTCATTTTGCCTGGATCATTTATAATTTCAATAGGTAATAATAGAAGTTTAAAAAGTGGAGTCAGAGATAGGTTAATAAAGAGTAGTTTATTGGGGAAAAGTACTCACGCAAGGGAGCCAGTGACCAGGTTTGCACCTGAGCAGGAAGGACCCAGAAATGCTTCCTAGTTAGCTCAGACAGGCAAAAGAGGGCCACTTGTGCACCTCCCTCCTTCTTAAAACCTTGTTGCATAACTCTACCCCTAAGCGGGCATAGACAGCAGTGCCTCTAATCAGGATTTCTCCCTACAGATAATGCTGCACATGTGGCAAGCACTGGAATCACTGAACCAGTATATCCCACTTTCATGAAGTTTACAATTTACTTGTAGACAACACTGAGAAGTACATTTTGAATAGCTACAACTGAAGAAAGGCTTCAGAGGGCATGGACCTTGGGGCAAAGATGAGGAGCTGATGGGAGTAGAAAAGGGGATGATAATATGAGATAAAAGACTCAAAGAAGTATGTAGAAGCTAATTCTTTTAACAATACACAGAACAGGAGAATCTGTTTTCTTCAGGGATGAGCCCTTGATAGATTATCCAATCCTATGTAATCGGTCCTAAACACATTTACATACCATCAACACCAAATAAACTCAATAGATTCTCTGTATATATGTATCATCTTATCTATCTAGTATCTATCTATCTATCTATCTATCTATCTATCTATCTATCTATCTCTCTATCATCTCATGTATATCTGTACCAGTATCTATATCTTATCTATGTCTACATGTAACAATGATGAGGAAGAAGTCATAAATTTGAGGAGTGGGACATGGGAAGAGTTAGGGTTGGAAGAGGGAGGAATAGAAATGTAAATAAAGTCCCATGTGTGAAATTCTCAAAACAAATCGTAAAAATTAATAGCAGCACAAGTGAAAACACAGAATGTGATTCCTTAGAAGAATTTAAATATATGGGTGACATAAATGTAATTGGATTCAGGAAAAAAATCTCATCAGTTGTCCAAGATGCAGAATAGATGAAAAAAGAGTAAATTTTACATGGAAAATGAGTTAGTTCAAAAGCTAGTTTAGTATTCTAAGGAGACAGATGATTATGATATTCAGGCTTGGATTATGGTTGTAGAGATGGAGATAGATGCCAGAGATAGTAGTAACAAGCCTTATCGGCACTACAGTTTCTGCATAGCTGAAGAGAAGTTATGATCCTACATATTTGTGGAACTGAATTGGAATGTGTGAGTATTTGCAGACCAATAGATATGGAAAGGGAGCTGAATTTCAAGGAAGCATCAGGGGATACCTTTGAGAGCTTAAGTAGATAGTTTAATAGAGAGTTGGATTCACAGTATTGAAGTTCGTCACTTCCCAAATGAGGACAGAAAGAAATGAGAGAGGCATAAGTGATATTAATCAGATAAAAAGTATATTACAAATAAAGAAAAGATGGCAGAATATATCTTAAGAAACTCTGGGGTCTTGGGGAATAAGCTCAGTCCATGAAGTCCTTGTCTCACAAGCACGAAGACATGATTTCAACCTCATGGACCCACATAAAAATGTTGAGACTGTGACATGTAGATGTATCCCAAAGAATGTGGAGGCAGAGGATCCAGTAGGTTCACTGGCCAGTCCATCTAACTTAATTGTGAGAACTAGGAGAGTGAGTCTTCATCTCAAAGAAAAGGGAAGGACCCCTAAGGATGACATCTGAGGTAGTTTTATGGCCTCTACACACATGTATACAAATGTGCACATGCACCCCAATACCATGTGATATGTATGCATACAAACACACAAATACATACACAACAAAAAGAAACTCTAAGAAATAACAAAAAAGATGAGAATATGATATGAAATTATCTTCAGAGAATTTGGGTGGGTAGAAGGAAAATAGTAAGAGTGGAGAGCTATAGACACCAAGCAAAGAGTATGCAACAGGAAGAATCGATTCACAGTGTCAGGTGCTGCTGAGGCCAAATAGGTAAAAGCTAGATCTGACCAGGGAGCAGTGCCAGAGGAAGGCCCCAGCCTCAGACCTGGGAGCAGCAGTGTCAGAGGAAAAAGCTAGAATGTTCACAAGATCATCAGGAGGCAAAGTGCAAGTATCTTCCGGAGATCGTCTCACTGCGAGGCACACTTATGTGTGTCTGTGTCTGTGTCTGTGTCTGTGTCTGTGTCTGTGTCTGTGTCTGTGTCTGTGTCTGTGTCTGTGTCTGTGTCTGTGTCTGTTG